GACGAAAATATATATGGGAGCTATGGCTAAATCTGAACCGATTTTTACGAAACTTAACACACATCGTTCTAGACTTAATTCAGTATGCTGTGCCAAATTTCGTGAAAATCGAAGGATATATAGGGGCTTTTTTGCACCATTTACATGAAATCGGACGAAACTGTGTAAGGGAGCTATATCTAAATCTGAACCGATGTGTCCAATTTCAATAGGGTTCGTCCTTGGGCCAAATAAATGAGCTGTGCCAAATTTCATCCAATTCGGATCATTAATGCGGCATGTATTTTGTTTACAATTTCACATGAACAGGCAGACTGGCAGCCATGCATCGATTCAGAAAGTGGTTCTATGCATATTTTCAAAAGGAACCATGTGTCTATCTCGTTTCCTTTTGCCTGTTATAAGCATATGCACAAAGACATAATACCCTGTACCACAGTGTGGTGAAGGGTATACAAATATCTTCCATTTTTATAAGAACTCTTCTATCTTGTGAATGTTGGAGATCTTCATTTGATCTCCGAAAAAGTTGACAGAGATCTTCATTTGTCTTCTAAATACCTTAAGATATACCATCCGACCTTGGAAACTCCTCTACAATTGTTTTCTTAAAAAATAATCCATTCGAAGTCTTAAATAAAGGGAATAATATTTAAAGGACTTGATATTCGGAACTCTCTGCATGTGTATTGGAAAAGCATATGGACTCTCGGTAAATAAATCTTCTAAGAGGTCGTTTCTTATACCCATTTTAAATTGATCATACCTTCAATACCTCGAAATTCGAATAAAATTCTTTTGAAATTGCGATATAGATCCGAAATTTCGCACATAATACTTCCAATGTGATATATCGGTCAACTTTTCAGGGTAGTCCCCAATAACATTACGCCCCAATATTTGGTATTTTGAGTAGGTTTTTCAATATAATCAACTGTAATTCGGTATTTCGTGTTTTCACTGAGTAAAAAAAATCTTCCCACTAAAAATGATCAATATTGGTCCATGTTTCCGGTTAGCCCCCATACAACAGTACCCGCTATTATTCGGTATTTTGGAGTGTTTTGGCACGTATTTCAGCCGAATTGGCTCTGGTTTGATTTTTCAGGTTCTCATGTAGTATCAAATCAGACCGGATTTATGTATTGGAAAGCATATTTTATTAAAAGAATACCTTTCTATGGAATTTGTCTACCAAATCGACATCATTTAATAAATCGAAAGACGTTTAACTTAACAATATGATTTCGTAACCCATACCCTTTATCGAAAAAAAGCTATCAGACATTATAATTAGTTTGTTTGAAAAATTACATCAAACTCGTTAACATTTATGAAATAATCATGTTTTACAAGAAATAGTCTGACCATACCTAGCCATGCTACGCAAAATGAAAACGCAACCTGCATTGAAAATTTATAATTTTGACAATGATGATATTTCTTTCTCGGTGAAGATTGATGGCAAACATATGAACATGTATTAATAATAAAAAAATAAACACACACACACAGACACGTATGTGAAACATCAAAACAAAACCACACAACTAATTACAATTATTACAATGCAGTTTTACATGGTGCAACTTTAATAGGGAGGGGGAATTTAAATTTAAATGAAAAAAAATGTAATTAACATTACGTCGAATGATTTAAACAGCATACGCACAACAAATGACATAAAGATGTTTGTTTTTTAAATATTTATATGGCACGTGAGTTTTTTATTTGTTTGTTTGGATTTTATTTTGATTTATTATGATGATTTTAATTTACATATTCAAACTTGAACGAGTCTCAATTGAGATTTCAATCAATTAAATTAATGTAAGAAAATTAATGACAATAAATTATTTTTAATAGCAAATTATTTTTGATATTATCTTTAAAATAGTTCCCTTCATTATGGGCATACGCCATGTGACCTTCAAGAGAGAATAAAACAAAAAACAAAAGACTTAAGCAACAAACACAATTTCAATATTTTTGACCACATTTCAGGAAAGTAAAAAAATTACTATTACCTATGTATTAGGTCTACATAAAATGCTAACAAAATTGACCACGCCTTATGATAGCATTTGAGAAATATTCTTTAAAAAATCAGGCCTTGAAGTAGCCTTGAAAAAATATTCCTTAAAAAATCCACACTTTGTGCTAGCCTTAGAAAAACATTATTTAAATTATTGGTCTGTTCCGGTACTTTTTTAATAGTAAATCTAGTAAAAGGGAACGGAAACTCGACGTCGAAAAGCTGCAAACACAATAGGTAGCCGAGACCAACTCCGCTCAACTTACCCATCTGCTTGAAGAAAGCACTTCTTGTCCCGATAATAGTTTAGAAGCACAATGGCAAAGAATTGCCCACTCCCTACAACTGCAGCAAAAACAACACTTGGGTACCAAAAACCACCACCAAGAAACCGATGGTACGATCAGGAGTGTCGTAATGCTACTGATGTGAAAAACGCAGCGTATAGGGTAACCCTGCAGACAGTAGCAATACGTAACGTGATGGAGAATTATCGGGAGAAAAGGAGAGAGGAAAAACGTGTTTTCCGAAAAAAAGAAGAAAGAACAAGAAAAACGTGAACGTGAGCAAATCGAGATGTACAGGAGTCAGAATGAAGTCCGGAAATTTTACCAACGAGTAAAACACCAAACCGAAGGCTTTGGTGCAGGCACATCCTCCTGTAGAGATGAAGAAGGAAACCTGGTGACAGATACAGACAGCGTGCTGAGGATCTGGAAGGAGCATTTTGAAAAGCTTCTGGTATCAAATAATGGCGGAGAAGAAAATACCCCAGAACCAATGAGAGATGATGGCATAGAGTGTATACCACCTAGCCAAGATGAGGTCATAAAATCAATTAATCGGCTCAAGAACAACAAAGCAGCAGGAGCCGATGGGTTACCGGCAGAACTATTCAAGACTGGTGGTCAGATGCTGGTAAGGAGCATGCACCAGCTGATTAGTACAATTTGGCTAGATGAATGCATGCCCAATGATTTGAACCTCAACATCCTGTGTCCCGTTCACAAAAAAGGAAACAAGACGATATGTGCCAAACTTGCATACAAAGTGCAATCCAGTGTGCTGTGTGAACGATTGGAGCCAATGGTCAATGACATCAGTGGACCATACCAATGCGGCTTCGGATCTGGCAAATCCACCATTGACAGAATTTCACTCTGCGCCAAATCCTGGAAAAGACCCACGAAAAACACATAGACACATACCACCTATTCCTCAACTGCATTCAACAGCCCTATCCGTTCAGAGGTGTTTAAAGCCATGTCTACGTTCGGCATTCCTGAAAAGTTAATACGGCTATGCAGGATAACTTTAAGTGGCACAAGATCAGCAGTTAACGTAGGAAAGGACCTATCGGAGCCCTTCAATACCGAACGAGGATTTAGACAAGGTGACAGTTTGTCGTGTGATCTTGTTTAACATCCTACTGGAAAAGGTCATACGAGACGCAAAGGTGAACAGAAATGGCACTGTGTACACCAAACAACACATGTTACTCGCCTACGCCGATGACATCGATATAATGGGCCGAACATTGCGAGCAGTAACAGCCACCTTTGAACAAATTGAAAAGAAGTCTGCCAGAGTGGGTCTGGCAATAAACGGAGAGAAGACCAAGCTGATGGTATCAACGCGCAAGACGTCCAGTAGACTCGGACCAACTGTGGAACTTGAGAACTACAGCTTCGAGGTAGTTAATGAATTTATATATACCTTGGTACCGTCATAAATAAAACGAATGACATCACTTTTGAAATTCGGAGAAGTATTGTGATGGCCAACAGATGCTACTATGGTCTGAGCAAACAACTCAAAAGCAAGGCCACCTCCCGCCAGACCAAACTCACACTTTACAAGACGCTGATACTACCCGTTCTATTATATAGATCAGAAGCATGGGTACTTGCGCAAGCAGATGAGACAGCTCTTGGAGTGTTTGAGAGAAAAATTCTCCGAAAGATCTATGGGCCAATCTGCGTCTAATGAACCACGAGCTCTACAATTTATACGCGGACATCGACATAGTCAGTCGTATTGAACTGCAGCGACTACGGTGGCTAGGCCATGTTGCGCAGATGAATGAGAATGCCCCAGCTCAAAAGGCATATAAAAACGAGCCTACTGATGGTTCCCGTAGAGGCGGAAGGCCACGAATTAGATGGAAAGACCAAGTAGAAAACAACATCTTGGAACATGGTCTTTCAAATTGGTAGATTTGCGCACAAGACCGATGCGCTTGGAATTATTTTTTAAGCTCGGCTTATGGAACAACCGCTCTGTAACAAGCCAGCTAAGTAAGTAAAAGCGAAACATTTCAAAATTGCTCTCAGAGTACAAAATAATTTGAAAAGTTCGGGAACGAAAATCTAGTAAATATGCCAAAATTAGATGACAATACTTCAATATAACAGCCAATCAGAAGTAGGCATTCCTTTTTACCATTTTTACTCGACCAAATTTCTCGAGTAAAAAGTTTAGAAAGAGAACGTAATTTTGTTTTGTGCTCTCTTAAATTTTATTCAATGTTTTACCAGTTTTCTGGGTTTAGGAACGGTTTTCGAGTAAAAATTTGCAAAACATGTAATATGAGTTGATTCTTTTAGGTTCTGGAATGGAACTTATATATATATATATTTATATATAATAATAAATTAAAAAGTAATAAAAAAATAACCGTTCCACATAATTCACCATAATTACAATAATTTTTTTTTTATTAAACAAGGCGATTAGTTAAAAAAATCATGTCAATGTCTAGGTTACAAGCTGTGGATCCAATTAAAAACAGCTAAAACAACTAACAAACAAGAGATTAACCGATTAGAAAATTTACAACAACTTGTTAACCAATTTGACATTCGCAGATAACCGTTAGAACACGAACAAAAAATTTATTATAAATAATGAGAAAATTTCCCAAACAATTTAGAGCATTATTGCGAAAAGTGACAACTGGATAAAAATGTTCATCACCAAGGCGGTAATAATTTTCACCCTATTCTACACCACTGTCCTGTGTGGAGAAATGGTGAGTATGAGGAGAAACCCCCCAACAATCAGGAGTAGAAGAAAAATATCAAAAAATGGATATCCCTTTTTAGAAAAACTGGACTTACGAATTAGTCAGCATAGAGGCCACAACCACCGATCCCGACATTGCTGACATCGCCGTAAAGGAAAAGCGCATTGGTCGTGGCCTTTATGCCTTTAGTGGTTTTTTGGATTTCAAAACGGATTTGGATGATTCGACAGTGGTGGATGTGCGTGTCTATCGTAGCTCTACGGAACGTGAACAGGATTATCAGCTAACCCCCTTTGTTATCGACAATGAAACTCTAACGAATTTTATCAATTTCCATTATAAGGCCTATATAATGCCATCGATTAAGGAATGTGCTCCCGATGCTCCACAGTTTGAGGGTGATGATGAATTTGAACCACCATTTAGTAAAATGCGTATCGATGTGAATGATTGCGATGTCCCTGTTGATGGTTTCCCCAATCTTTTGGAATATGGTCTATATAAGATTGAGGCCTATGCCCGCAATGATATTGAAATGTTTTTGAAGGTGGTGGTAAGGGTTGAGAGGCCATAGAGTGGGGGAAAGAATGGGGGGAGGGGAGATTATAAAAAAAAATTCAAAATGTTTGCATTTTTTATAAATTGGTTTCTCAATTTTCTATAGCCTAAAAATTGGTAAAATTTTTATATTTTTTAATTTGATTAAAATTTTGAAATAAATGTTTTAAAATATGGATAAATCTATAAGGAAGTTTAAATTGAAATTATTAAGCCTTTTGAAACCGAAACAAATTTAGGTAATTTTTGAAAATATTTTCAAAATCATATTTGTATTAATTTTATAATTTTTATAAATAATTTTAAATTTAAAAAAAAGTTTGCAACAAAAGACTGCGTTAGAAAATAAAAAAATATATTAACAAATTACAGAAATTAGCACATTCAAACATACATCTAAATCTGATAACGTTACGCCCTAATTCATGGCAAAGTTGGTAAATTGAGGGAACCAGTGGAGAGAGGGAGATGGGTCGTCACTGATATTGTGCAGCTGATGAAAATATCATATGGTCAGCTGCAGAAGACAATCGTTCGGAAGACAATGAAGGCAAAAAATATATGGAATAAAAATAAAATTGAAATATGAGAACCGCTGGCTGGCTGCCGGTTTGAAATGGAAATTAAGTTCGGTAGCTATTTTGTAAGATCGAGAAAAATTACACAAAATTTAAAATGGTGTTGATAATTGTTGCAATTGTTAATTGTTAGGATATTTGAGGAAGAGGTACATTGAATATTTTTTTCAATTTTTTTTTCCAATAAGACGTGGATTTTTAAAGAATATAATTCCAAGGCAACCATAAGGTACGGATTTTTTAATGAATAATTTTCTATGGCTACCATAAGGCGTGGATTTTTTAAAGAAGATTTTTTTCTAAGCTACCATAAGGTGCGGATTTTTTAAAGAATAATTTTTAGGGCTATCATAAGGCGTGGATTTTTTAAAGAATATTTTTTTCAAGGCTCTTATAAGGCCTGGATTTTTTAAAGAATATTTTTTCGAGCTTCCTATAAGGCGTGGATTTTTTAAAGAATATTTTTTCGAGGTTCCTATAAGGCGTGGATTTTTTAAAGAATATTTTTTCGAGGTTCCTATAAGGCGTGGATTTTTTAAAGAATATTTTTTCGAGGTTCCTATAAGGCGTGGATTTTTTAAAGAATATTTTTTCGAGGTTCCTATAAGGCGTGGATTTTTTAAAGAATATTTTTTCGAGGTTCCTATAAGGCGTGGATTTTTTAAAGAATATTTTTTCGAGGTTCCTATAAGGCGTGGATTTTTTAAAGAATATTTTTTCGAGGTTCCTATAAGGCGTGGATTTTTTAAAGAATATTTTTTCGAGGTTCCTATAAGGCGTGGATTTTTTCCCAAGGCTTTTCTAAATATTTTTGTCAAGGCTCCTAGAAGGAGCGATTTTTTAAATATTTTTCAGTGCTCTATTAATACAAGGCAGGGTATTTTTTTAATACCACCTTTTACTGGGTTTTTGAAAACATTTTATTTGCTCCGATCAACTTGAAAACTACTCTAAATTTAATTTAATGTTTCATTTTGCCATAATGGTGAATGTTGTTTTAATTCAAGTTTTTTCTGTTTTTTTTTTTCTTTAAAATGAGGGGGGTTTGAATTTCATTTGGGAGTTTTCTATGAGTCGTTTTACTTTGCCGCACACTTTTAAGGCTGCTCAACGTTGTTTTATGATTACAATGTTGGTTGGTTGAGTGCCTGTTGGCCACAATGGAAACTATTTGATTGTTTTGAAAACTGTAATAGGGTATAGTTTTTCCAGCTTAATGCAACGGCGAACAAAAAGACACACCTTTGTTTTGTTACAACTTCGAAGAGAGGTGTTTAGTTGGAAATGGTAAAGCTTTTAAAACGTGGAATGTGTTTTTGGTTTCATATTTGGAATAAAAATGTGGCTAATGGCTGCTTCCTGCCTAGTAAAACCACAATATTTTTCTTTGGCAAAAATGTTTGTTGCCCTGACTTAATGGTAACACAGAGGTCTATAATCAATTTTTTGACTCATTGGCTGTCGGGGGTTTCCTTCCCATAGTCATTCATGAGCTTTGCGTTTTTTTTCGGTTTTTATATCCCACAATTGAGAATTGGGAAATTTGTTTGGTTTTTCAAGTATTTGAATTTTTATTTTTTAGCATAAAAACTGAAAAATCAATGCCATAATAATGCTGTTGCCTTGACTTGAAGTTGCGGATTTTTTTCTTCTTGTTAATTTGTAAAGATTAGCATAAATACTTAAAGGTTTTCTTTAAAATTAGAAACTCAACAAATAATTGTTGACAGTTCAAAAGAAAAAAACATTGAATTTTGAATGTTTGGTTGCGTGAGAAAATGTTGGTTAATTGATGGCTAACTTCAAAACAAAAGACTTAAGAAACAAACTTGAAGTGTCATCATTAAAAGCCATAACTTTGAATATTTTGTTCCTCTTAGTTGATAAATGATTTCTTCCCCTTAAGTCATAAGAATTGTGAGAACTTTTGGGTGATATTCATTCAACAGTTTAGCATCAAGGAGATACGATTTTTTTTCAAAAAAAATAAATATTATTTTTCCATTCCGACATTTCCTTCCACATTTTTTTTATTTTCTGCTATAAATATATTGGTCATTACTTTCTCGCCAAATATGGTCGGCATGCGATTATTCTTTTTTAATATTTATTTTTTTAAGATATTAAAGCATATTATAATTCATTTATATGCAAATCCAATTGCACTCGTAACATGACGTTATGGCTATCATAAAATGTATTGAAATGTATTTTCTGTTTTTTGATTAACTTGTTATGCAAATTTCTTCCAAAGAAATTCCCACCACATCGGAGTAATTCAAAACGCCGGAAACGCAATTAAAATAGCATACAAATAGTAATAATTATAAATTTATGTTAATCAAACAAAAGACTTAAGACACAAACAAACATGGATTACCGGGAATTGGCATGCAAAATAAATTTTGGTATATTGACCAAAAAAGTAAATGTTCCATTTAAAATGGATTAAAATTCTTATAATTTCACAAAGTATTTATGACCATTTGTTCTGCACAATTTTAGAATAACAAATTCCAAAAAAAAAAAAAAAAAAAAAAAAAAAAAATACAAAGTAAATAACGAACCATTTAATAAGTAATTTCCTTAATTAGAATTAAATAAAACCAGTAAGGAAAGTAGTAAAGTCGGAGGGGGCCGACTATATGATACCCATCACCACAACACATGGATTCCTAACAGACATCACATTTTTAAAGAACCCGTAACCGATACTAAATTTTTGATTTGGTCAGATATAGAATCTATATCTAAATCTGAACCGATTTTCACGAAACTTAACACACATCATTCTAGACCTAATTTATTACGCTGTGCCAAATTTCGTGCAAATCGAAAGATATATGGGGACTTTGGTATACCATTTACCTTAAATCGGACGAAAATATATATGGGAGCTATATCTAAAGCTGAACCGATTTTACGAAACTTAACACACATTATTCTAGACCTAATTCATTACGTTGTGCCAAACTTCGTGCAAATCGAAAGATATTATGGTACACCATTTACCTTAAGTCGGACGAAAATATATATGGGAGCTATATCTAAATCTGAACCGATTTTCAGGAGACTTAACACACATCATTCTAGACCTAATTCAGTACGGTATGCCAAATTTCGTGCAAATCGAAAGATATATAGGGACTTTGGTGGACGATTTACATTTAATCGGATGAAAATATATATGGGAGCTATATCTAAATCTGAACCGATTTTCACGAAACTTAACACACATCATTCTAGACCTAATTCATACGCTGTGCCAAATTTCGTGCAAATCGAGAGATATATAAGGACTTTTGTGCACCATTTACCTTAAATCGGACGAAAATATATGGGAGCTATATCTAAATCTGAACCGATTTTTTCCAATTTCAATAGGGTTCATCCTTTGGCCAAATAAGTGACCTATGCCAAATTTCATCCAAATCGGATCGTAAATGCGACCTATACTTTGTTTACAAAAATACATGGACGGACATACGGACATTCGTAAATCGACTCAGAAAGTGATTCTATGCATATTCTAAAAAGGAACCATCTATCTCGTTTCCTTTTGCCTGTTACAAACATATGCATAAAGACATAATACAGTGTGGTGAAAATTATTCTTTAAAGAGTTCACGCCGTATGGGACTGCAGGAAAATATTCTTTAAAGAATTCACGCCTCATGGAAGCCCAGAAGAAATATTCTTTGAAGAATTCACGCCTCATGGAAGCCCAGAAGAAATATTCTTTAAAGAATTCACGCTTTATGGGACTCCAGGAAAAATATTATTTAAAAAATGAACGCCTTATGGCAGCCCAGGAAAAATATTCTTCAATGAATTCACACCTTATGGGAGCCCAGTAAAGTATTCTTTAATAAATCCACGCCTTATGGGAGCCCAGGAAAAATATTATTTAATAAACCAACGCCTTGTGGGAGCCCAGCAAAAAGACCCTTTACTAAATCCACGCCTTATGGGAGCCCAGGAAGATTAATCTTTAATAGATCTACGGCTTATGGGAACCCAGGAAGAATTATCTTTAATAGATCTACGGCTTATGGGAGGCCAGGAAAAATATTATTTAATATTAATTAAGAAAAATATTCTTAATTAAATCCACGCCTTATGGGAGCCCAGAAAAAATATTCTTAATTAAATCCACGCCTTATGGGAGCCCAGAAAAAATATTCTTAATTAAATCCACGCCTTATGGGAGCCCAGAAAAAAATATTCTTTAATAAATCCACGCCTTATGGGAGCCCAGGAAAAAATATTCTTTAATAAATCCACGCCTTGGATGGTCCCTGAAAAAATATTCTTTAATAAATCCACGCATGTATTGGTCGCAGGAAAAATATTCTTTAATAAATCCACGCCTTGGATGGTCCCTGAAAAAATATTCTTTAATAAATCCACGCCTGTATTGGCCGCAGGAAAAATATTCTTTAAT